ATGCGGCGAAATGGAACGCAGAGAAAAAATGTTGTTCCCCAACGGTGTGTGCTCTTGTGAACGCACCGACTGACCCTCTGTGCCAAAGGTGCGCGCGTGCAGATCGAGAAGGGCATCATCATCATCTGTTTGTTCTCCCTGTTCACTTCACGCCTACCGCCAGTGGTTTGTAAGGCGCGGATGAATTGCCGGATCGAGGAAATGTCATGTTGTTGCCTGTTTTCCTTGTTTATCCACTGAATCCAGCACGACAAAACAGAACGGTTCCGATCATCGACCCAGCGCCTCCGTTTCTCTCCCAAGCAGCCATGCCAAGCTTCACCTCAAGTGGTGGCGCTCGATGAGAGGAAAGACGGCTGTTCACGTGGGGGGCGGACTTCCTCGATCGTCGTGCGTGAACACGGCGAAATCATATCACGTACGCAGTGATTTCGGAGCCGAGTCAGAATCTCTGTATCGGAATCGATTCCATTGCCATACCTACCGTCGATTTGAAGTAGTTCGGACAAGCGGGCGAACGAGCGATTTATCGCTGCAGTAGACGTTCTGGTTGGCAGAATTCTCCCGGTCGCGTGCTCAGAAGATTATGTTAAGAGATAGACGATCCGATAGAAGCACAAGAAAAACTCCCGGATGCGAAAATCTTCGTCCCGGACCGAAGATCAGAAGCATTTGATGTGCGCCACAAGTTCATCATTCACCGGAGGTCGACGCGAGGCTTTTCTTTTGTCAATCCATTTCTCGGCTGCTCTGATAAGGCTCCGAAGATGATTAACAAGACGATTACGACGATGATCATGGACATGGAAGTTTGTCGATGTCACGATGAAGAATGCAGCTATGACGGCAGAGGTACCTACTGGGAAAGGTGCATGGGGAATCCGATCGAGTGCAGTGAACGCCGAGAGTCTAGCCAAAGCGGTTTCCGAATACCCTGCCGCAAATTAGATCAGGGAATCGTGAAGGCTCGAGGACCTTCTCCACTCATGAGATTCTCGTGATCTCCCCCCGTGCCTTCGACAAATAGATTTCTCGAAGAATCAGAAACTCTTGAAAAAACTCGTAGATGACGGAATCGCTCACACGATGCTTACCTATTACGTTACTAGGGATGATTCTCGCTTCGGTGATAGTCTCCGTCATCTCTGTAGGACGTTCCTCCGAAACTCCTCACGGATGGGTCAAAGGGATCCCTCTCTCCTATCGTCTATGTTTTCTTCGATCATCAGCATGATTATGTTTCCCTGATTACTTGGCTGTTCGGAAATCCATCGCGATATACGTGCCTCGTCGGAGACCCAATTGCCCCGAGAACAAACGATCCGAATTCGAGCAATCGTCCCTCGGCAGGTGAATCCTAATGAGTTCGGATAACAATCGTCGATGCCGCATGTGCTATACAATAAGTGATTGTACATTACATTACATTTCCCTGATACCGATCGTAGAGCGATCATGTCGAAATCGAACAACAGCCATAGAAAGGAACCCGCAAAACCCAATCAGCTGTGGCCCGCTCGAATCCGTTCCATTTGTCGATGTCCTCAGCAAGAGGAAAATTGATAATGGAGTCTCGAGCATCGATGGACCGCTCGTGGTTCGTGATACGCGTCGGGATAGCGAGCTCGGTAATAATGTCAATATCTTCCCAGCGATCGAAGGTGTTCTGCAACCGAGCATAATACCGTATCCTCACGAGTGCAGATCTGAAGGAAATCAATTGCTCTCGGAGATTACCGCGTCAAATGTTCCTCAGAGGAGCGTCAGGCTGTTCGAAGATAGCGCGATACAGGTAGGTTGTTCCAATTCCTGAGGAACCAGAAAGGGCCGACGGGAATGGCGAGCCAGGACTCCTTTTCTCCGACTCGAAGCCACAGCTGCTGCCCAATATGCTCTTAAGTCGCCCATTCGGTGGACATCTTTCGATCCTAAGGGAGAAAGTCAGAGGCGCCTCACAGCTATCGGTCCATTGGGTTCGCGGGCGTGGAAACAGAAAAGCAAAACGACGACGCCCCCCGCAGCAAAGTCCGTGATCGCCGAGCTGAGGCTCTACTCATTCAGATCCGTCTCAGAGCCGCTAGTCATTTGACCACCATCGTACCTTGAGCTATTTATTCCTCCGCGCTTGTTCTGCCTCGACGCCCGTGAGTGCTATTCCCGTGTGGAACTGCATCAGATTGAAATGTTTTCCGAAAGAGATCGCTTTTCCCTTCCGTTTACTCTAGAGTTTGTTATCGGGAGGTCAATGTCATCGCTGGGAGATCATTCCGTCGACTCGGAAGCTTTCCGGGCTGGATCTTCCCTCCCTCTGTTTTCATTTATATCTCGCATTTGCTCCCGTTTCCGTCAATTCTTAGCATCGCATTCCGATGATGACGGGAGACTGGAGTTGGACGCTCCCGATGGAGCACCGATAGGGCTATCTGTGGCTCGAACATTTCCCGCGTCCCCTCGCGGAAGCTTGACGCGTGCATGATGATTGCGGTTGGTTTTGGTATCCGCTCCTCTCTCGTCACCGCTTTCGCATAACCCACGGTTCATCGAATTAGAATATTTCTACTCGAGGAGAGCGACGACGGCCAACGCGACGTCGATCGGCCCCAAGCAATGAGTCGTCTATCACAGTTAAGGGTGTCTACATGTCAGGTTTATGTGTTCTCCACGTTAGGAATGTTTGGCATCCAAGACGATCTTGAGCCGAATCGAAGGCGATCTTCAGGTGCATACACGTTGGAATGGTGGTTCAGCTTTCTTTTCTAATTAAACTATTTAGATTCGAAGTTACGCCCCATCGACTGCTCGTTTGCGGCTGACGGTTTGACGTTACGCAAATTCCGCCGTCGCCGCATGGCTGGTCGATACGAGACAAGAGAACGACGCTCATATGGAGGATCGAGCTCTGACTGCGGGGAATATGACCGAAAAAACGCGGAATCGAGCGTGCTCAGTGACCTGCTCCTCGCATGAAGTCGGCGTTGAGACAGTTCACGTTTTCGATACGCTGCGATCCCACAACATTATCTGATAGGCAAATATATTTCAGACAGAGGAAGTTCCAGGACTGCTAATGGGATGAATGTCGTGAAGTGGAATGAATATTCGTATCATCCTTCCTGGGAAAGCCATTGTCGAAGGGCTCGCAACGAGAGCACTGGCATGCAGGAGTGGCTTTCGGGAAGGGACTGGATTCCCCGCGAAAGATGCGACTCCGTCCTGGACCACGAGCGCTACAGCCATCCATCACGGGTGACCGCCGACACGCCAACTCATCAAGCGTTATCGCTGCAAATTCGAGCACGGAAACCTGACCGATCGGAACCTGTTCCGACCCAGGGACACGAAGTGTGTGGGTATCCGCAGGATCCTGCGCTGGTATGTCTGGAGCTTTTCATGAGATCCATTTGTCGCGTGGAAATCTTGATTCTCTTGAGTTTCGATCTCATCGAACACCCCTTCCATCAGTTGTGTGTTGCTCCACCGGCGTTCCAGATGGCGCACCGGTCGCGCTAAAACATCCACGGCTGAATCGGAACTGCTGGTTTACATTTCTAATGAGACCCGGTGTCTGGCAACGGATCCAATGGAGGGGAACTCGCTTAGCTCCTGGTGTTGGAAGCGGAGATCGGTCGACAGCAACCTTCCGCCTGCTATCCGGGGCCCGGAGTATTTCTTTGCCGAAGCCCTGGAGTTTAATGCAATCGTTTGACCCTAAGATCGAGATGTGACAGGCCTCCAGATTCGCCCGCCCTCTCTCCTATCGCACCAAGGGATGTCTCGCTAGTCTCGCGGCGCCACAACTTGGGGTGATGGTGCGCGGAGCTGACTTTGTGCCTGGAAAGACTGATCGGTGCCTAGAACATGGATAGGTCTTCCTTCTGCATAGAGAATTAGTCGAGATTGTTTTCGATTCTCGATTTCTCCCGAATCCACAAGACCAGCCTTGTGCCAGGCGCATTGCAAGCACCTGTTCCTAGGACCCGTTCCTTCCCCTCCTCACTGGTCATGATCCTGGAGCCTCGCCCGATTGCCTGACGGGAAATACGTCTGACTGACGAGTGACGACTGAAATCGCTGCACGTGGAGGCGGATAGAACAACAAGGCGCGCGCGCCGAACAGCTCTCGTTCGTTGCGCAAGATCGGATCGGAAAGAGGAGGAGGAGGAGGGGGAGGAAAAACAAAGATTTCTCGCGCTTTGCAACTTGTACGTTAAGCGATGACGACGACGGAGAAGATCGCCACCGTCAGCGCGCTGCGGCGGCGCCAACATCATCGCAGTCCCAACAAGTCTCTTCTCTCTTGTGTCTGGTTTTCTCTCGTCGTGTGTCCGGTGTAGCCAATGATCAGCGATAATACGCGAAGAGGCGCCGCCCTCGCCCGAGTGGGCGGGCGCTTTCTGGGCTCCGCCTCGTGGCGAAGGTCACACTCACAAGCGCAAACGATTTTGAAGTCAGTTAACTGAGATATGCGGAGCTCAAAGCTCGGCTCGTGGTCCTTGTGACTTAGTGAAGCATTCGACGCATATCGAACGTTTTCCGTACCACGTCTAAATGCCAACTTGAGCAGGCGCGACGGCTGTTGTTGTTGCCGACTGGTTGTAGCCTCCCCGGAAAAGCGTTCCGCGCCCCGACAAAATAGAATCGAAAAAAAGAGACTCTTCCATTGGCAGTGTAGAATCCGTAAATCCGTCTCCGAGCTTCACACTGTGCGACAAAGGAAAAGAAAAGCAGTGCTGTGGAAGAGACTCGTCCACCCATGCGGAAATTGTGCTTTAGATCAATAGTGAAAGTTCGCTTCTGCATCAGATAGTGAATCTGCAACGGACCGAGCAACGAATCGAATTAAGCAGTTTTCTGTGCTCGAAAGAAAGATAATACATCGAGACTGTTGTGTTGAGATATAAGACGCAACAAGGAAGTGAGGATCAGCGTCAGCAAGTGCGGGAACGACGACGCGGAGCGGGACTCGATCTACGGGAATTCGGCCACATCTCAGAGCAAACATGTTATTCCATGTGGATAACCCGCATCATTTGAAGCTACCTCAAGACCACTATCAGACACAGCCGTTTGGCGTACCACCCATGTACCCGGTCCGGCGAGATGATTCCGTCGGCTACGAGAGTTCATTTTTCCCGGTGGAAAATCAGCACCGGGGCATGAACATCGAAAGAGACTCCCGATTGGATTATCGACCCGCAGGGGCCGACTTCGGCTATGAATCGCCCCAGAACGGTGCCTTCATGCGGTACACGCCCCAGAGTCCTTCGGAGTCATCGTGTTCCGCAACTTCCCCAAACTCTGGTGTCAAACAGGAGTACATCTGCCTATGGTCCGAACCAGACGTTTCATTCTATCCGTCTAGTCACCGGAGTAGTAATCTAAATCACAGGAAGGCCCCGTGCCATAAGTCGTTCCTCACAATGCACGAAATCGTTACGCACCTTACGGTCGAGCACGTCGGGGGACCGGAGTGCACGAACCATACGTGCTTCTGGTTGGAGTGTCAACGAAGTGGGAAACCGTTCAAGGCCAAGTACAAACTCGTGAATCACATTCGAGTTCACACCGGGGAGAAACCTTTTCCATGCCCGTTCCCTCAGTGCGGGAAGGTGTTCGCGCGCAGCGAAAACTTGAAAATCCACAAACGAACACACACAGGTGAGTTTCTCATTTTCTGTCCTCTTTGCGGATAATCGGGCATCCCGAGCGACTCCGGAGGCTGGAATCGCAATAGGAGAATTCTCGTGTAGGAAATCCGATCTGTTTACCGTCTCTGGGTAGTTTTCTCCTCGAGTTGATCCGGTCCGTCAAGAGCTTCAAAGGCCAATCTTGACCTCTACGGAATCCTTCGCCCGTCATTCGAGATATTCCTCGATTCTCGGGAGAGCGAGTGTCATCCATTTTTTCTCATGCGGAGATGCCGACTGTAACATCTGAGCATGAGTGATTAATTCCCTCTCGACTGTGGCTTCGGAGCAAATAGTGCAACTCTCTCGAAGAAATAGAAGAGCGCGCCCGAGCTCGGTGATTTTGCAAGAACTGCACGTTGGTGGTCCTCGCTTCTCCAATGAAGGTCCTCTTCGTCGCTTCTGACTCTCTGCTTTCTCTGTGCTCGTCTCGCACGATGCTGACCCTCACAGAGTTAAAGCTCTGACTCGAAACCAGCTCTGACAGCAGCGAGCGTCAGAACGCTGGAGGAGCGCGACTACGAAGTTCTGTGAAGAGGCTGATCGCAAACCAAAGAATAACGTTTCCCTGACTCGTAAATAGAGCGACCTCAAAACTTTTACTGGGTTTGAAGTTGTTCCGTGAACGGAGCAGCGTGTTTTTCGGAAGTGAGCCAGCATCGACTCTCTGTGCTTTACTGCACGCTTCGGGGAAGCCTGGGCGTATCAGAGAAATCGATTTCGCAGCTCTTTGAGCCTCCTTCTGGCCTGACCGCTGTCGTTGAGCCGAAAAAAAGCTGCGACGTCGACGACGGCCTTGACGAGTATCGCTATGACGTGTTAAGCGTTCGGCGAGATTATCGAATCAGAAAAGTGGAAATCTCTCGGCATTGTCGCAGATTTTCATGCAATCGATGATCGCGGGCCCTATAATCGACCACCGGTGCTTTCGATAGGTTGTATCGCGCACTCGGGTCGTTTCTGTCGCATAAGGTGAGGGTAATTAGTGACTTTGCGAAATTCCTCGCGAAAGAGCCAGAGGATCCTCCGGTTTCTTCATCCTTGAGCCTTCCATGTGCATCTCTTCCTCGAAATCTCCGAGAAAAAAATCGCAACGGTCCAGCAGCCGGTAAAGGGAAGTCCGCGAAGTTGTGAAGACGAAGCGTGAAAGCGGAATGGCAGATCTCGAAATCGTCGTCCGAGCAGATCCCATGCAGAAATGTGGCAGTTTTCTCGAAGAGCACACATTGCGTTTTTGCGGCCGCTCAAACAAACCTTCATCCGATGCACCTGTGTGTCTTCAGATCCGTGTTGCTGAAGCATCTTCTCCGTGAGGTGTGAGCGGTTCCCTCGTTTGTGACTGAGAAAGACACCCAAGGTGGGATGCACCGGGGCCGAAATGAGACGGACCGAGCTTTCGGGGTTGAGCGAGAGCGCGATTCGAGTGTCTGGTTACCGGCGGACCGAGTGTATACTACAAATAAGGTGCTAGCGATTCGAGTCCGCGCTCTGTTGTGAGCTCCCAGACGTACACTATCGCGTAGACGATCGTAAACAGGACATCCGAATGAACGAGAGCGAACGCGATTCATACTCACAAGCAGATGATCGTTCGCGACGTCGAGATCGTAGTCGTCGTCTTCGCCTTACACGAGAGATATGTTGCGGCGGCCCCGAGGAATTCGTTCAGTATCTATCTCATTCTGCTTTCTTTCCTTGCGGTAACACTCCCATCTCGCCCTACCCTCGACCCTCGACGATCGTCGTTCAATAATTAAACAAGTTTTTTCTTTTCGTTTTCGCTTGCCTTCTCGTCCTCCGTTTCATTACGATTCCATTCCTGAATCAAGTGGTGACGGCGGCCTCTTCGCCTCCTTCGACATCTTGGATCGATTTTTTACTCTATTCGTTCTTTTTTTTGCTGATGTAAGTTTGGAGGAAATGTGGCGGTTTTCCGTGAATCGAACTCGGTCTCTCGGAATGCATCGTGGCTCCTCCTGCAAGTTTTTTTTCTTTTGTTTTATGGTCGCATCGCTCTCCTCCACCGACCATTGCGAGACATCTTGATCCTTTTCCGGTGGCAGCATACCGACCGTCGATATCATAGAGCGCTTTCCCGCGGGATGGGAGAAGATGCGCGCGCAATCGACCTCCGTGCTCCGACACGCTCCTATCCGGGGCAAGGGACTGCGGTAATTGTGCTTGTGAATTGATTCCCGGGATTCTTCCGATGGACGGGAGGAATGAAATGATGATGCACCGGCCGGAGTTCCATCAGATCCCGACTCGGCGGAAAGTGTGCCTGATACGCGTCTCTTGCGTAGTACTAATAATGAATTGAATTTCTCATCGACTGCGAGGAAATTCTTCCTCATCGCCAAATCGATGGAGCAGAAAAGGCATTTGTGTGAGAGCAAATTGAAAGTTGTCAATGGAGCGCGTACGTCAAAATTGCGATCGGTCTTCGGTGTAGCTGTCAAAACGAAAACCGAGAAAGCGAACCGTTCTTATTAAGGAGAGGCGGCCGCCATCAGCCCGAAACCGCTGTCGCTCCACTGGCTGAGCGAGGGAGCGGGCGAGCGAGCGACGAGTTCGAAGCACCGAACACAAGCCGAATATATTCGTCGATGAGATTTCATCGCGCGATATGCTCCCCGATTAATTTCCTCCGACGGATATTCCGTCCACGTGTCAACAGCCGGAGCGACGAAAAGAATTTGTGGACTTCACGATTCCCGGTTCGATGCGAAGATAACTTCGTTACCATCGCCGAATATTATCGGCACGCCTAACACTCGATGATGGGATTGAGTCCGATCTGATCAATTCAATTGATCCGAGGTCTCGCCCGAAAGTCTTCGGTAGATCGGACGTGAAGTTCACATCGATTCCGTTTAATGACAGCGTTTTCAAGTCGCCGTCCCTCGTAGGTGAGTTCCGTCCACGTCTGTGTCTCTGGTGTGTGGCTCCTTCGTTGTTTTTCTCTCTTTCGTTCGCTCGAACGATCCCGAAGCACAAAGCCGTGCATTGAGCATTCGTCGCGGCTTCAGAATTTATGCTCGCTTCTCCAGCCTCGGCTGCGCCCTAAATCATCGAAAACCCGCACGAAATACTCGAACCCTCGGAGCAAAAGTGAAAAAATTGAGGGAAGGAAAACACGATTGAGCCCGATGGCATCAGGCCGACTCGCCGGTCAGCCGACACCAACAACTCCGAACATTACCCTAGAGCACTCATCGAGTGGTCATCAGTGATCGTCGACTCAGGCGGTTCAGATCAATCTCTAAGCTCCAAACAGTCCATCATAGGACTCTGGCGGGTCCCTTATTCGCTGCTGACGTGAAGCTCACGTTTAACGATGACCGAGATGAGCATCGGTGAGCTAAGTAAGCAACTAAAGTCGGAATCACGGATAGATAGAGGAAGAGAAACAACGAACGACTTCGCGAAGGGAGCGAACAGAAGTCAGGTGCTGTCAGAATCCAAAGCACAAGACTAACCGATTCGTCGTTAGTTCGAGTTCCGCAGAAAACGAAAAGAGGAAAAGAAGAACTTTATGGTCGTCGCCGTGGACGACGACGACAAGTCGTTGTCGTCGTCGTCATCCAAGCCGAGGTGCCTCTCTGTTCTCGCCTTTTCTCTATTTCAGTGAGTTCCGAACATCACCACGAATAAAAGTTCACTCTCGACTTTACGTTCTTCTCGAGAAGAGGAAAAATACGACAAAAAAAACAGCTAATTGGCGCGGCGCACAGCCGTTGTCCCCGTCACTGCTGTTGCCTGTAGATTTTGTCATGTATCCAAACTTTTCTGTCGCTTACGAGCGAGGGTCATCTATTGGGTCGCCGGAAATCGTGTCTGCGTCATCGGAGGTACCTGGAGCTCCTCTCGATCACAACATCATCAATCCATGGGCAGGAATCTCGGGTCCGTCGCAAACGAGGAATATCTTATTTCGGTTTGACGTCAATCACGTTACGCGTGTCTGCTTTCGCGGCAATTAAAAAAGGAAAAACATTCAATAGGGCGACTCAAGCCGAAAAAGTTGTATCGCATAGCCGGCACCAATTTGTTTCGAACGCATTAACGCATCAATGACTTGAAAACGTAACGGCTGACGCCCAATTCATTTGCGGCGGAATATGCCTTGCCCGATGCAGCCGTGGCATGGATTGCACGCAATCTCACCGTTCGTATGTAAGTAGGTACATCTGAATTGAGTTCGGTGGTGGCGATTGATTGTTTCTCTCCTCGTGTGTTTTGTTTATGAACGCCGGGCTCGATTCGAGCCGACCTCACCTGGTCTGCAGGCCGCCCAAGTGTCCGAGCGGGCGGGCAGGCAGGAGGACGGCGGTCCGCAGTTCTGTGTATGTATTTCGTTGCGGGTATCAACGATGGCGGCGCATTTTTCTGGCGTGAATAATGACCAAGACACTCGCGTGGCGTCCGTCCGTCCAGCAAACCGTCCGATGCGGGTTTTTCCTTCTCTCTCTCTATCTCTCAGTTTGCTTTTCTCACCGTTGATATTCCGGATCTACGCGGAGTTATGGCGTGGGCTGAGAGCTTCGTTTGAGCGGCGATCTGGTCGGCTATCTTCGCAAAAACCGATGCGGGTCGACATCGCAAACAGAAATTTCAAGAAGGATTTTTTTCGTTGAGGAATATACCCACTTTGGTGAGCGCAACGACGGCCGCCTGACACATGCCGGACAAACGTCAAGTCGAGCGCCGCCGCCGCTGCGACTCCTTCCTGGGGCCGGTCCAGAACCCGGAGTTGTTCGTTGACGTTCGAGCAAAGCTGCATGTTTATGATTGGGATGTTTGCGCTTTCCAGCTGTGGTCAGCCGGCAACGGTCGTTTCGTGTTCCCGGAGCGAGTCCGTTCTGTCATCGACTATCGAATGTTTTTCCTTTCTCCTTTATTTATTCATCCATTCATCTCGTCTGGATTCAGGCTGGATCCGCGCGACGATTACGTCCGGATTCGAGGAAA